AGATCTTCTCCGCATTGAGCTTCTATATTTCTCTAATATTTTGAATGCATAACAAAACATCACCGCATCTCGCGCGCCACTAATGACGCTCCCTGATGCACAGCTAACATTCACAGGCAAATGTTTATTTTAAATTCGACTAATATTCATTTTTTTTATTCACAATCTCCTCATCACAGGCAGGCACAGCACTCAATTCAGCATGTGTTTGTGTTTGTGTGTGCTGTCTGCGTCGCTCATAGTACGTGCCTATATCGTGCACTATATCGAAAAATCCATATCGAAGAAGGTGTACCGTCGATAAATATCGATACCGTTTTATTGCCCAGGCCTACGCTAAAGCGATCGCACCTGCCGCATTAAAGAGCGCCAAAACTGTATGTATTGTTTGTATTTCGTTATGAATTTGACATAATTTTATACTTTGTTTATTAAAAAGTAACAACGCTTTTTGCGATTAATGGATGGCAAGTGTGCTTCAAATAATATGAAGTTCACGCATTAACAGAACACAACATATAGACTAAGATCTTGATAAGAAGAAGCCATATTAGTAATGATTATAAACGAGAATTGTTAAAGATATTGCCAATATCCACACAGCTGACAGCTTTACCTGTTGTAGCTTGTTCAAGTTGTGCACGAAATAGACTCTGCTTTTGTGCACTTTTACTTCCACGTCTCCGTCATGTCGATCTCTCTCGCGCTGTACAACAGAGCTGTGTTTATCAGGTGTGCGTCAGCGCTGCTGTGCGGCAGAGATGAGGACTGTTTGAAACTCTTTTTTTTTTTTATTCACAATCTCCTCATCACAGGCAGGCACAGCACTCAATTCAGCATGTGTTCGTGTTTGTGTGTGCTGTCTGCGTCGCTCATAGTACGTGCCTATATCGTGCACTATATCGAAAAAATTTTCTATCCATATCGAAGAAGGTGTACCGTCGATAAATATCGATACCGTTTTATTGCCCAGGCCTACGCTAAAGCGATTGCACCTGCCGCATTAAAGAGCGCCAAAACTGTATGTATTGTTTGTATTTCGTTATGAATTTGACATAATTTTATACTTTGTTTATTAAAAAGTAACAACGCTTTTTGCGATTAATGGATGGCAAGTGTGCTTCAAATAATATGAAGTTCACGCATTAACAGAACACAACATATAGACTAAGATCTTGATAAGAAGAAGCCATATTAGTAATGATTATAAACGAGAATTGTTAAAGATATTGCCAATATCCACACAGCTGACAGCTTTACCTGTTGTAGCTTGTTCAAGTTGTGCACGAAATAGACTCTGCTTTTGTGCACTTTTACTTCCACGTCTCCGTCATGTTGATCTCTCTCGCGCTGTACAGCAGAGCTGTGTTTATCAGGTGTGCGTCAGCGCTGCTGTGCGGCAGAGATGAGGACTGTTTGAAACTCTTTTTTTCCACTAAAACTTTGATGCGCATTGTCTCAGTTTAATACGTGAACACAGCAAATGATCCGATCACAAAAATCAGGAAAAAAGGCATTACATGCAAATTTTTAAGTCATAACATGTAAATATAGTCGCCATTGGTGACCTCAGCAGAAACTTAACTCGCAAATTTATATTTTTGGTCGCAAATTAGTCGCGTTTTTAGCCCGTTTTAGTCGCACTTTGGAGCCCTGGTATGCACTCTATATTTGAGATCTGTTGTGCAGCTCATGCTCAGTTGATTGATCAATAAAGCTTTAGCAAAACCTCATTAAACTGTGCTATCATTTATGGTTTGTAAATGTTGATTTGCCATTCTCTCAGGATTGGGGAGTGCAGCAGAAGAAGGCCAACCGCTCCTCTGAGAAGAACAGGGAGAAGTTATCTGCTATGTCAGAGAGCCGGCTAACCAATGACATTTCTCCAGAGTCCACTCCTGGAGCAGGACGACGGAGAGCACATACACCCCATTCCTTCCCTCATGTGAAGTACAGCACTCAAATGTCTGTGCCCGACCAGGCTGAGCTCGATAGACTCCGGCAGGTCATAAACTTCACCGATCTGGATGAGGTGAGTGGGGCTTTATAACCAATATTAGGATTATAACACGCTTGGTTTGACTTGTTCGATCTGACTGAAGATCTAAGCTTGTTACTGTTTCAAGACAGAAAGTGCATGGATTTAGGAAATAGTTCTGAAGCAAATCCTTAGAAGCGAGTCCTTTACACTCAAATAGTCACTATCAAATAGATCACTTTCAAATTCAGGCCAGCTTTAAAGGGAAATGTAAATGTCAGAGTCATCCTTTGGTAAACCAAAATATCACTTTTCATCCCAACAGAGAAGTATTGGCAGTGATTCTCAAGGCCGCGTCACTGCAGCCAACAATCAGAGACAGCTGTCTACTGAGGCCAAGAAACCTTTCAACTTCCTGCCAATTCACCTCAACACTAACAAAAGCAAAGAGCCCACTGCATCCACCTCTTCCACACCTGGGGGCAAGGAACCCAAGAAACAGAGTCCTGGGAAAGAGTTGTTTGCCCCAGTTCCTGATGCGGTTAAAGAGCCTTTTAGTCTGGACAGTGGCCATCAGTTCACATCAGAGGATGGAAAAGCAGAGCTTGACATTGACAGCAGTCAGGTAATCAAGAGTTTAATGTCTTTATTATGTCTCTAGGTGTGTACATGTGCATTTGCAGGACTCCAGACTAGTGGTCGACCGATATTGTTTTTTTTTTTTTTACAACCGATTCCGATATCTTGGAAAGCATGGTGGCTGATGGCCGATATAAAGCCGATATAATTTTATTTAATATTTAAGAAATTTTTAATAATTTGAAAATGGATTAAAAAATAAATGTGTAAAATAAACATGCTTATACTTTAAATTACAAAGTATTTTTCACAAATAAACAAATAGTTAATAAAAATGTAATTAAAAAGGAAGTAAACACTTTAACCAACAGGGCACTCCGTATTCTGGGAAGTTTGTGTGCATTGGGAATCATATTTTTTTCAAATAAAGCCAAGGTAACACTCATTTTACATACAGCACACAGTGAAAATGACATGAATATGGCAGTGGCAAAAGCATGAAGCACAGCATAATTTGAAATTACGAGTTTAAAGTTTGTCGATCGCGCGTCTCAATGAAGCTGAACTCTCCTCCTGTCCGTATTCAATTCGCACAGACCGACTGTCATGCAGAGTACACGCGATCATGCAGGATACAAATGCACCCTTCATAAGATCTCACAGCTGGATTCGACTTGCTGAAGTTTGCAAGGTTTTTGAAATTTGAAATGTTTAAATTATATAAATGCGTATTTGCTGAATGCTGACGGCAAACGAGAAAATATTATAATGTTTGCCTTTCTATTACTAACAATATAAAAGCAATCGTTATAATACTTTTTGTATACATTTTAATTCCTTTGTTTAACAGTTCTATCTGATTATTAGA